CAAGATCGCCTAATTCCAAAGTCATTAAGACCTTCAAATGTTTGACAAACGGTGCACGATCAAGGGATTCAAATCGGCCGTCCATTCGAACCACTCCACATTTGCCCCTGATCTCTCATCTATTTACGGGCCATGCCACTACAAAAGATCTATAAATAGACCCCTCATTTCTCATGAGAGGGGACCCAAGCAAGAAAAAAGGAAGCAAGGAGGAGAAGAAGAAGAGAAGAGGGATAGGAGGGAAGAACTCCTCCTCGACCACCGCAGCCGGAATTTTGTCTAAGTGACGTCGGAATTCCGCCCGACCTCCAAGTGTTGCCGGAATTCTGTCCAACCTCCAAGTGACGCCAGAGTTTTTCCCAAATATCATCTAACATCAAAATTCTCCTTAGCCTTCAACTGGCGTCATACTTATACCCGATGCAAGACCTCCGCTCATCGTCAAGTTTCTACCCGACGCCGAACTTCTGCTTATTGTTGGACTTTCATCAGACATATATCCGATGTTGAATTTCTTTTCATTGCTGGATGTCTACCTGACGCCATCTTTCTGACCTATGTCGTTAGACAACGGTCCATCTTACTAACGTCGCCCGCCGACTACAGTCTTTCTGGCCTCCGTCGCCCGCCAACAACGATCCTTTTGACTAACATCGCCCGCCGACTATAGTCCCTCCGGCCTTCATTGCCCGCCGATAACGATCCTTCAGACTGATCTCACCCTCTGACTATAATCCTTTCGACCTCTGTCGCCCGTCGACTACGATCTTTCCGACTTATGTCGCACACCGACTACAATCCTTCAGACCAAACAAACACATAAATAATGATGCTTTGTATTCTCACCATGTAATGTACTTTATAAGATGTACATCAAGCTAAGGCCTTCTCCTAAAGAAGGGCCTCATTTGTAATCGACTACAATACTAGTGGATTCATTCAAACTGGGACAGGCCCCGTGGTTTTTCCCCCTTTTTAGGGGTTTTACACATAAAAATCTTGGTGTCTCATAAATGCTAGACCCTTTCTCTTTTCTGATTGTGTGCCGGATTTTCGTACAATACTAAGACGTTAAACTTATATTTCTCTACCGCCGCGAATACTCCTGGATGCAACATGTAACTTTTTGAAGTTTTTAATTTAGAAGTATTTGTGTCTATTATATTATTGGTGGTTTTCAGATTTTCCCTCCCTTGAGGGTGGATAAGCATGATCTCAAGTCAGTACAAAAATTGGTGTAGAACTCTACCTTTATTTATCATTCATATGACACAATTGGCAATTATATATGATTGAGACAATAAATTGTTTTTGTAGTGAGGAGATCAAATGATTAAGATTTAACATATGCAATTTATAAATGATGGATTACTAGATTCACTGATTTAGTTGGAGTCCAAGGTGACTTAACTTCTAATATAACTTTTTTTTTAATTAAAACCTACTCAGGAGCCTACTCATTAATATAAAATAATAATTACAAGTCCTTAAGAGGAATGAATAGCTCGCTACCGCTCCAAAAGAGCTACAATCAAAATAGAAATAAAATCCTATGATCCATAAATCCCTATCAAAATATAATCCACAAAAAAACCTAGGAAATCCACAAGAAAGCCATGAGCAATCACCAAAAAAATGGAGATAACAAAATTTTGAGAAATGAAAAGGAGCAAAATCACCTACATCAAATACGAACCACCTGAATCTGGACCAAACGTAGCAGCAAGGAGAGTGACCAGGGCCAGAATCAAGGATAATCACATAAGAACATCCAAACATCTGACCACAAAAATTCTTTCATCAATAGAACATCAAAGCCAAAAAATATTTAATAATTCTATCTCTTCCTATGTAAATCAAATACAACATTTTATTTGATAATCATATATATCTTGTTCAAGAAGCAACATGACTACTATGCCCAAATCTAGTTGATAAATATTTATTAAACAATTCATTCTGCTCTAATTTTGATGTGTCATTGGACATTTGTAGAAGTATATACCATGATGTATGCTTTTTGCTAATGATATTCTTCTTGCTGATAAAACTAGAGAAGAAATTGAAAAAAAAAACTAAAATTACGCAGGTCAACCTTAGCGTCTAAAGATTTTTATTTGAGTACCTCTAAAATAAAATACATGAAGTGTACTTTAATTATAAGTATAGTAGGGAACTGTGACTTAGGTTGATCAAGTCAATAAAAAGAGTATATGTTTTAGATATCTTGAATGTATTATTCAAAGTGAAGTTAAACTAAATGAGGAAACTATTAGTATAATTGGAATTGGCTAGTTGAAGTGAAAAAATGCATCAAATCTATTGTGTGATAAAAAAAAAAGTACTCTTCAACTTAAGTGAAATTTTAGAAAATGGTGGTGAGACTTGCAATGTTTTATGAATCAAAATGTTGGCCATTAAAAGAAGAGCATAAAATAAAATTATTTTTTACATGAATGAGGATGCTCAGATGGATGAGTGTCTTTACACTTTGAGATAGAATGTAAAACGAGTATATACATGAAAAGGTTGGTGTAGCTCCAGAAATGGATGCGAGTAGAGAGAGTCGCCTTAGATGATTTGGTTACATAAATGTTGGCCTTTCAATGACCAGAGCAAAAGAGTAGATGTATTAGATGTGACCTATATTAAGAAATGTATAGGTAAACCTAAAAATACTTAAAAGTATTAGAAATTGAGTGGAATTTGGTGTCGTTAGATTCGTATTTCCGAGACGCTCATTTTTACTATAAGTTTGTTGGAATCAGAGTGGAGATGGTCTCTGAATTAATTTTAGAAGTTTCTAACTCGATTTTGGATCGAGATTCTTGCCCGATCAAGATAATTTTTTGATGGTGTATCAGTTGCCCCCTACTTTCAGACGTTGAAGCTCCAAAAGTTTGAAAATACTTGTTCTGACACTTTACATTGGCCGAATCGCAAAACATTACATTTTAAAATTATAACCTTACTCAAACTTGATCATAGGCACCCGTTGAGCTCCGAAAGTGTCAAAATTGAGTCCGAAACGTCGAAAAATGTGTCTGGGGACCCCAAAAATGTCAAAAATCAAATAGTCCAGGCCAAAAGTTTGGCCCGGGCACGCGTAGGCGACCTGACCGGCCGGTCTTTGCGTGCTGCCGCCGCCGGTGGCGACGCCCGTTCCGTGCGCGGTTTGAAGGCAGCCAGTTGCCGGCTGTAGTTTTTTTCATTTTTTTTAAGCGGTTTTGGCCCAAAATCGCCCAACCGCCTGATTTTTTTTTTTTGAATGAGAGAGGTATTTTTTTTTTAATGAGAGAGGTATTTTTTTATTGGGTAACTACCCTAACTCCCATAACTCCCTCCTCCTTCTATAAATACCCCCTGGGGTATTAAAATTTCACACCTTCTCCTCTCCTTCTATTCTTACAATTAAGGCTTTTCCTTGGTCATCCAAGACCCCTCTCTTTGCAAGGAAGTCCGGAGATTCCCATTCTCCCTCTATTCTTACAATTGAGGCTTTCCCTTGGTCCTCCAAGGCCCCTCTATTTGCAAGGAAGTCCGGAGATCCCCCATTCTCCCTCTATTCTTATAATTGAGGCTTTCCCTTGGTCCTCTAAGGCCCCTCTCTTTGCAAGGAAGTCCGGAGATCCCCCATATTTCCCCCAACACCCTTAGGAGAAATGTCAAGTGATCGCCTTCCACCGAGACATCCTGCAATCCGGGGAGACCCCATCACACCGTATGATTGCGAACAGAGGCCAAATAAGAAAATGATGGTAGACGAGACAAAAAAGTGACTTCCTGATTCTTTTCCGTAAGAATTTCTATTTCCCGAATGATGTGAAGACGATTGTCCCTACGAGGTCTGATCGGGCTAGCCTTCCTCCTACTGGGTACTTGACCATTTTTTAGACCCACTTGCGAGCAGGGTTACGCTTTCCACCTCCTGCTGAGTTGATCGAAGTTTTAGAACGGTGTAGGGTAAACCTATCCCAATTTTCATTGAGAGTGATGTCAGTGACTGTGGGATTGATTGCGCTCTTCAGATATCGAGGAGTTACTCTGACGCTTGAGCACCTTTCAAGGATGGGTTGACTTACTAGTGACACAAATGGGCGTGTAACCTTCAGATCCAAATGGTTGGATGTGCGTACCCGTGATCCTTCAAAGAACTGGGCCAGTGCATTTTTCTTTATGAAAAATGATTGGGGCCTGATTGAGAAGTGGGGGAAGATGAAGGATTTGCCAGCCCCTCTGCATGTCGGGGAAGAAGACATAATGAGGATCTTGAAGGTCCTGACATCGAACATCTTCTATTCAAGATTCGTCACATGAGTAGATACACCGAGGAAGAGTTCTTGTTCAAGGTTGGGTTGTCGTTCCATGCTGGAAGGTCTGATGCAAAGATGTTGAAGCCGACTTCCAAGGTCCCCGAGCCCCCTACCCCAGCTTCAAAGGTGGCTCCTAAACGACCGGCTAGAGGCGAAGACCCCCAGGTTTTATGGATCAAAATTTTGGCCATTAAAAGAAAAACATAAAATTAAATTAATTGTTGCATGAATGAGGATGCTCAGATCGATGAGTGGCTTTACACTTTGAGATAGAATGTAAAACGAGTATATACATGAAAAGGTTGATGTTGCTCCATAAATGGATACGATTAGAGAGAGTCGTCTTAGATGGTTTGGTTACATAAATGTTGGCCTTTCAATGACCAAATCAGGAGAGTAGATGTATTAGATGTGGCCTATATTAAGAAATGTAGAGGTAAACCTAAGAATACTTCAAAGCATTAGAAATGATAATTTGACTCTTAATTAGATACAATAGAGAAAAAAGATTCATGAAACTGATCCGACGTAGTGGGATAAATAATTGATGTTGTTATTGTGTTTAATATTTTAAAAGAATGGTTAAATAAGTAATTAAGAGTTTAGGGTTTAGGGTAATCTAAATAAATATAAACAAAACTATGTAAATAGTGGTTAAGGTTACAGTTATTGATAAGATAATAAAAATGCTAATTCATGTGTATGTACATGAATTGTAATTAAAATATATATTTGGAGTGTTAGCGTGTATGATTATTTTGTGATTAAGATTTTAAATTAGAATTTTTGGGTTGACGGTTTAAGATCGATGGTTTGAAATTATGCGTTTGGGTGATACTCCATCTTCAACTTCATCAATCTCACAAATCCAACAGAAGAGAACAAAATGCATCTGAGATCTGAGCCCAAACTCTTGGCTGGTCACCTGCATAGACTGCCTTCAATTCCACGACGACTCCATGGCCTTATCGACAGTCTTCCGAGCTCTCTACGATCCGAAGAATCTCTCAAGGGGAAAGATTGTTCACTGCAAGATAATTGTCTCCAGTCTTCTCCCAGATGTCATCACAAGCAACCATTTGATGTCAATGTACGCAAAATTTGGACTTTTGGATGATGTTCGCTGTGTGTTCGACGACATGCCCTACTTGAACGTTGTCTCATGGTCTATACTTATAAACGCTCAATCCAAGATAGGTTCGGTTAAGGAAGCCTTTGACTGCTTCAGATTAATGGTTTCTGATGGCTTCCAACCTAATGATTTCACCTATGTGAGCGTTTTATCCGCTTGTGCAAAGCTTAGTGCTGTGAAACCATGCAAGGAAATTCATGGGAGGGTTTACAGGTTTGAAAATGTTATCTCAAATAGATTCGTGAGTAATTCGTTGATGAATTCTTATTCAAAATGTGGCTTTGTTTGCTCAGCCCAAAAGGTGTTTGATGAAATTTTGCAGCCGAATTTGGTTTCATGGAGTTCCTTGATTTCGGGGCATTGTCAATTTGGAGAACATGAAGAAGCTTTGAGAATTTTCTCAAGGGCTAGACGACAAGGTGTGATGATTAATGAGTTTGTGCTTGCTAGTGTGTTGAGTGCTTGTTCTGGACTGGAAGAATTAAAGGTGGCTAAACAACTGCATTGCATTTCCCTGAAAAATGGTCTTTTCTTTGATTCATTTGTGGAGGCTGCGACTATTGGCATGTATGTAAATTCTGGTGATCTGGAATCAGCTTATCTTGCTTTCTCAGATATAAAAGAACCAGGATTAGCTTCTTGGGCTGTAATCATCAGAGGATTTGCTTTAGAAGGCTATGGAGAGAAAGCAATGTGTCTCTTTCGGAAGCTAAACTCTACTGGCTTGAGACCCAACGAGCATGTCCTCCCATCTATTCTGGTTGGTTGCTCCATGTCCCATATTGTTGAAGGAGGGATGCAGATCCATTCCCTTCTAATAAAGTTAGGATATCAGATGTTTTCTTGTGTTGGCAACACAATTTTGGATTTCTATGCAAAATGTGGAATGTTTAGGGAATCATTACTAGTATTTGAAGCCATGGAAGAGAGGGATGTTGTATCATGGAATGCTATTTTTGCTGCATATATCAGACATGGCGATCTTATTGGAGCTTCAAAGCTTCTGAACGAAATGCTACTTCAATGCAAAGATCTAAATGTCTGCACTTACTCGAGCATTCTTAGTCTCTGTGCTGATCTTCCTGCCATAGAATGGGGGCTCGCCACGCATTGTTGTGTTCTTAAATTAGATTTCGATGCCAATGTTGTAGTCGGAAGTTCATTGATTGACATGTATGCAAAGTGCGGATGGTTGAACTATGCTCTTAGAATTTTTAACAGAATGCCTTCAGAAAACTTGGTTTCTTGGAACAGCATGATTTTTGGCTATGCTCAGCATGGATTCGGCATGGAAGCAGTAGAAATGTTTCATAGAATGGAAGCAGAAGGCATTGTCTCAAATGAGATCACTTTCATTGGAATTCTTTCTGCTTGTGCCCGTGTTGGTCTTGTTGAGCAAGGGGAGATTATCTTCAAACTAATGAAAACAAAAGGGATAATTCCAAGGATTGAGCACTATGCTTCCATGGTTGATCTGTTTGCTCGAGCTGGGGAGACGAAGAGGGCCTACAACTTCGTCAAAAACATGCCTATGGAACCAAATACTGTAATTTGGCGTTGTCTTTTGGCTGGCTGTAAGAGCCATGGGGATTTAAACATTGGAATGCTTGCAGCTAAATACATTCTCAACGATGAGCCTCATGATATTTCAGCTCGTGCCATGGCATCTGCTCTTTATGTAAGTGCTGGTTTGTGGGATGAGAGAGCTAAAGTTAGAGGTACACCAAAGAGGGAAGCTGAGAAGGTGCCAGGCCGAAGTTGGATTGAGGTGAAGGGCAGATTTCCTCATGCAGTCAATGGATTATTAACTTAAGGTGATGGTTGTAACATATTCACAGATAAGTAGAACAAGGTGACAGTGGCCAAAATAAAGAGCTTTAGCATTAGTGATACCCTATAACAATGGAATAATTTTGCAGCACAAAGCACAACAATGGTTAATACTGATGTTATATTGTTGCAGTGGTTTATACCACAGCTATGTAGTAATGATTTTAATGGATGCTACATAGTAGAATTGTTCTACTTATATCTGTGAAGTAAAATGGTTAAAACTGTCGCTAAGTCCTTTATTATTATTTTTTTAATGTCAACAATACATGTAAGGGTGGTTTTCTCCAGTACTATCATCTAGCATAATGATTCAATCGCAATTCATTCAATACTATTAAACGTACGCAATCATCAATAGCATTCATAGATAAACAACATCAATCATCAAATATAAGTGAAGCAATAATATATTTAACAAACATGAAATTTCATATTTTTAATAAATAATCAATGCAAGTTTTCTAATGCCTTAAATAAGCATTACAACAACAACAATAACAAGCCTTTTATCCCACTGTGAGGCCGATTATATGAATCTTTTTTCTCTATTGCATTATATTAGGAGTGAATTTCTCTTTTAAATCTAATAAAAATATCTTTTTAATACTTTCTAACCAAGTCTTTTAAGCCAACCTCTACCTTTATAAACATAGGCCATATACAATACATCTAGTCTCCTAATAGGTTCATGTTAGGTTGGAAGTAAAACATCGCAACGAAACAAAAAAGAAAATAGAAATGCTGTGGGAAGAAAAAAGGACACAAAGATGTAACGTGAAAAAATCCGAATATGAGAAAAAATCATAGAGTCATACCACACAAAGAAATGTACAATAAAAATTGGGAGAAATGAATATAGATCTCTCTTTCTCTCTCTCTCTCTCTTGCTTCTATTCTCTTTGGCACCGTACTCACACACAAAATATAAGAGAAATTCAAGTAAAATAACACCAAAGGACGCCACCCTCGAAGCACTGCTGCGCCTAAGCCTCTATCATCAGTCCATCTGATGATGTTGCGGCACTCAAACCCGCAGCGCTGCTTGTTGCATTCACAACATTGCGGTGTTGAATCTAGAGAGTTGCGGTGATCCGCTCTCTATTATTTCTCCAAGCAAACTCTACTACACAAGGATACTCGAGTACACAATGTCGAGGAATTATAGCACACAGCGCCAGAGCATTGTACGGAAAAAATGTGCCCTTGATTATGTATAATTAAATGTGTTGATTTGCTTCATTAATTAGAATGATTTGGTAAGAAGTCAAGTAAAAGAAGAAAGTAGGCACACAATTACACATGTGTCCTTGATTATGTATAATTAAATGTGTAAGAAGAGTTTCTGAGTAGTAGGGAATGATCTTAGAGGATCTCAAGATAGTACTTGTTTTCCCTCATGTCAAAAACTTGGAATAATGCTTACTCAGTAAACTCAAACATTTTGTTAAAACGAGCTCCTATTTGCCCATGATCTCACACCTATTTACAAGCCATGCCACTCCATAAAAACTATAAATAGAGCCCTCATTCTTCACAAAGGGGGAGGGAAGTGAAGAGAGAGAAGAAGAAGAAGAGAAGAAGAGGACAAAGGGGAAAAGGAGAATCCTCTCCTCATCGACCACCGCCGGAGTTCGTCCTGCCTCCCAAACATGCCAGGATTCTGCGTGATATTTGGGAGAACGCAGGAATTCTGTCCAACTTCCACGTGATGGTGAAATTCTTTCCAATTTACAACAGAGTTCTCTCCTGACGCCGAAACTCCGCCCAAGTGAAGTCGGAGTTCTCCTCAGCCACCAACAGACGTCGGACTTCTACCCGACGTCGGACCTTCACTCTTCGCCAAGTTTCTACCCGACGCCGGACTTCTACCAATTATCGGACTTCACTGGACGTCTACGCGAAGATGGATTTCTTTCCATTGTTGGACTTCTACCCGACGCTTTCCTTCTGATCTTCGTCGTCAAACTACAGTCTTTCTGACCTCTGTCGCCCGCCAACTACGGTCCTTCTGACTTATGTCGCCCGCCGACTACAATCATTCCGATCTCTGTCGCCCGCCGACTATGGTCCTCCTAACTTATGTCGCTCGCTGACTACGGTCCTTCTGACTTACGTTGCCCACCGACTATAGTCTTTCCAACCTACATCGCCCACCAACTACGGTCTTTCCGACCTCTGTCGCCCGCTGACTACAGTCTTCCTGACTTATGTCGCCCGCCGACTACAGTCTTCCCGACCTCTGTCGCCCGCCGACTACGGTCCTCCTGACTTATGTCGCCCGCCAACTACAGTCTTTTCGATCTCTGTCGTTCGTCGATTATGGTCCTCCTGACTTACGTCACCCGCTGACTACAGTCCTTCCGACCTCCGTCATCAGTCGACTACGGTCCTCCTGACTTACGTCGCCCACCGACTACAAGCCTTCCAACCTCCATCGCCCGCCGACTACGGTCCTCCCGACCAAACGAACATGTCAATAGTGATTCTTTGTTTTTACATCATGTAATGTACTCTATAAGATGTACTTCAAGCTAAGGCCTTCTCCCAAGGAAGGGCCTCATTTGTAATTGACTGCAAATACTAGTGGATTCGTTCAATCTGGGCTAGGCCCAGTGGTTTTTCCCCCCTTTTCAGGGGTTTTCCACCTAAAATTCTTGGTGTCTCATAAATGCTAGACACTCTCTCCTTATCTGATTGCGTGCCGAATTTTTGTACAACGCTAAGACGTTAAATATGATATTTCTCTACCGCCGTGAATACTCCTGGACCCAACAATTATAATTGATAATTCCTTGAATGATTATAATCATGTATATATAGATGGAGGATCACTTTATAATATTAAGAAAAATGATAGACATTCTTGAAAATAATTCTAAACCTCCGTATTTATGTGGTATTAGTTTTCCTTTTCAAGATTAAAAAAAGAAAGAAATCATAACTAGAACCAAAAAACATTTTCTATTGATTTTTTTTAGTCCCATTCTGGTTGTAAGCCCAACAAAGAAGCAAAATTAAACCTAAAATTGCACTTGTTTAATCCCCAGCTCTTGAACATATATCATGATTGAAGGTGATGAGGTTGTAAAGGAGGAATTTTTACTCTTGAAAGCTCCTTTTTATTAAATTGACTGATGGGAGTTGCTACAAATAGCATAGCAAGATCATAAGAATTACCTCCCCCAAACATGCTAAAGAAAAATAATTCATAGCCTTGATTTGTGTGCAATTTCTACGATCTATCATTAAAAACAAGTAGCTTGTGAATCCAACTAAAAATTGATGTTAGGAAAATCAAAAGTATTGCACTATAATAAGATGGTAAAAAAGGAAATGATTGTTGTATATCATTTATCAATACTTCTTCTACTAAGATACCACATCTCTAAAAATTTTACCTGTAATTTAAAAATGAATACAATTGTGGGCTTCAAAAATTTGGCCCTCGCCTCCCTCGCTTGCTTTTCTTTAGGGGAGTTTTAATGGAATTAAGTTCCAGAGTAAATTTTGGAAGGCAGATGGATTTGTAGATAAGACACTGCCCAGAGATTTCACCTTTAGTTTGCGAGGACTTTATGATCTAAGTTCTGATTTCCTATAGGCGCAAGCCCCAATTGTTAATTACCCCTCTTGATAAAAAGAGATAACTTTCGATTAAGGCTAGTCGTCAATCAGATAAATTATATCTATAGATAAGTAGTATCATGTATATAGTAGAAGCATATGCATTTGAAAATTTGATATTTAAAATAGAAATTTCACCACCTGGCACTTAAAGTGGATGGTGGGGGAATGAATGATGGACCCTATCAAGATCCCATGGTTCTGTCATCCCGGATCATTGTGGTCCCTAGTCTACTTAGTCAGAGGAGGTAGTGGATCCAACCTGATAGAAGGATCCTTTTCAACAGCCAATTGTTGCTTCATCCAATGGTACCTTGTATACCCGGGGTGGATGTTTGTCTATGGGGACAAATTTGAATCCACCTTAACTAACATAGAGCTTTGTACCATATCAATTATACCCTATTGATTCATATCTCAGAGATTTGATGCCATTAAGGAACGCATTGGCTTTGGACATAATAGATATCTTGTGGTACCATTTGGCAGCAAAATCGTTCTGTTCAGAGGGCCCTGGGTCATAACCATTTATCCTACAGTACCATTTGGCGTCAAAATTGCCAGTTAGAGGACACGTATCACGTCCTTACTAGCAGGAGATTATTTGAGAATAGATTCAATTAATATTTTTGACTAGGCATTAGCTCTGTATGAGCTAAAATAAATTTTAATTTGTCCACTCGGACAAACTATTATAGATGGTGGATGGATTTTGCTTTAAGTTATTTAATAGATTATTTTAATTTTAAATATTTGGGGTTTGGGATTTTGGATTTTCATGGGTATTTGGGAAATTGTGAGGCATTTGAAAGTGTTTGTAAACCCACCATTTGAGATATAAATTCAACATGACTATCATCAGGGCGTATGGAATCATTCACTGACTAAACCTTATTGACTCTATCAGTCTGTCGATAGAGGATCGGATTTCATAGGCTTTATGCATTTGTGAATGAATTTTCTTTCTTGGAAGCCTTGAAGGCCATATATGAATGTATAAAATTGATATTCCGATCGAAACCTCGACCATATATCTATTTAATAATTCGAGCTGTGTCAACTCCTATCATATAGAAGGATCGAGCTTAAATTATGCTCATTTATTAACCTGCACAACATCCCTAGATGTCATGTTCATATCCAAAATACACTCGTCGGGGCCCATGCGGGTATATGATTGCATTTTCCCCTTTTGTGTACTTATGTGTATACATATTATAGTGCATTTGTGGGGGCATTTTGGACATTTGACAAGTCTTCTACGACAACTTGTAGAAGTTTCCATTTTTCATAGTCTTTTAATATTTGTTCGTAGGAGGCATGTTAGATGGACAATCATTGTTCATCAAGAAACTTGCAAGCCTCAATAGTCTTATCCAACTCAATGTTTATGACTTGGTTGAACAAAGACTCATTCACTTCATCTTTGAATGTGATTTGATCTAGTCTTCTCTTTTGAGAACTCATATGAGAATCAACAAGCAACTTCCAGATTTTGCCATCATCATCATTTTTTTTTGTCTTAAATAAATAATCAATCATTTCAACCTTGGATGATTGTGTCTTTACTGA